AAAATAATATCACATTAATGTAAAAGGACTGGCACAACCTATTCTTCCTAACTTCCTTCATTGTTTCCTTAATTTGGTCTAGGAACTTTTTTTATTTACTGTGTCTCTTCAGATCATGAATCTCCACAATTTCCTGTCATTTGTAACTCTTAAAATCTGTCTTTTTGCTATCTCTCCTAATTCCTGTTCTGCCAACATTTTACACAAGCTCATTATGTAGGTTACTTATTACTTTCCTCCATCCCTATTGCTTTTTAATATCTTGTGAGTGTCAAATTTTCCCAGCCTTCTCATTATGGCACTTAGAAATTTCAACTGACTCTTTTGGATTCTAAGTATAAGTTTCATTTTTGTTTCCATTTTCCTTAAAATGGCAATACACAATAAAAACCTCTGACACAGTAAGAATTGTCAGTTTTCATTGAAAATAAAAAGTGAAGTGTCTATATCTCTGAGATGACGTATTATGATTACTTGCATTATTTACATAATTTGGACTGTTATCCCCATCTTCATTGCCATATTCACAACATTTCGGCCATTGTATGCTCTAGACTTCTTCAGGTGATTGAAATTTTGAACAGAACACTTTATTTTGTCCACCAGGGTAGATTGTTCTAGTTCTATGTTCCATGCCTCTTCCAGATGTCTCAGTTATTTCCCTTTGACTCAACTCACAAGAGTTGTGAGTTCAATACCAGGCCATATCCATGATGTACCAAAACATGGAAAGTTGAGTTAAAGGGAAATAATTGAGAGATCTGGAAGAGGCATGGCATGTGGAACTAGAACAATCTACCCTTGTGGATGAAATAAAGGGTTTGGTTCGAAATTCCAATCACCTGAAGAAGGCCGAAGCCTACAACAGCTGAAATGTTGTGAATATGGCAATGAAGATGAGGAGAACAGTCCAAATAATGTAAATAATGCAAGTGACAAGTGAAGATTTGAAAAACAATTTTGTAAATTAAGAGAACGGACAAAAATATATTTTTTGACATAATCACTAAAGAACATAACAAATCCCTTTTGTTGTCTTGATCACAATAATCATCCTTAAAAAATCTAGGAATTTCTTTACTTATTTTATCTTCCTAAATCGTTCAAACTTCTTCATAATTAATGCAAACTAGAGGGTATGTTAAATGCACTGCCTACTAGTATCTGTCTATATTTCTGAGATGAGGTATTATGTACATTATTTACATTATTTGGACTATTGTCCTCATCTTTGTCACCATATTTATTACAACGTTTCAGCCGTTGTACGCTCCGACCTTCTTCAGGTGATTGGAATGTCAAACTGAACCCTTTATTTTGCTCACTGGGGTAGACTGTTCTAGTTTCACATGCCATGTTTAATGGATGCCAGTTATCAGTTATCTCCTGTTAATTTCCCTCTGAAAGTTCTCCACTGCCTTAACCGGGTATTGAACTCACACACTTTGGGTCCTCTCAATGGATCTAACTAATGCCTTTATCCACTGTACCATGTTGTACGTGGAACTAGAACAGTCTACTCCAGTGAGTGAAATAAAGGGTTCAGTTCGACATTCAAACCACCTGAAGAAGGTCGGAGTGTACAACGGCTGAAACGTTGTAATAAATATGGTGACAAAGATGAGGACAATAGTCTGAAAAATGTAAATTATGTACTGCCTACTAATTGGCAAAAAATGAAAATTAAATTACAAGTTGTTTTTCTAAACAGATCTACATATATTTGAAAGAGAACTCTTTATTTATTTTTTTAAGTGTCAGTTTTTGTTATGCAACAGAAAGATCCCAATTCTTCTAAAATTCAAAGCAGACTTGTGAATAAAGAAAATAATAAATAAATATAATATACAAATCAAAAGAAAAATATAAATAATCCTCCTAGCCAGACACATTTATAAGTTGACTATTCATCCATATATTGAACATGTCTGCCACATCTGGTCTGGTACTTCTGCTATATATTTAGAGATTCTTGATATAAATCCAAAGAAGATTCTACAGTGTTATTTGTCCTGAACTGGTGTGTCCACTTCAGTTACTTTTCCACCACCTTAATGTAGCTTCTCTGTGCCTTTTTATCTAAATATTTTCATGGTAATTGTTCTCATGAACTTTCCTTGTCTTCATTGGTGTTTCTTCTTTAAAAGCCTTATTTTTACTCTCCACCCGCCACAAACAAATTGAACATATGGGAACTAGTTAAGAATTCATAGAGACTCTGAGGTATTATGGTGGCTGTAGTAAGAATGTTAAGTAACAATGTGTTCTTTTGGTATAAGGAATAATGTAGTATGTTTGGGTCAGTAATTATGGCTAGCTAAGTTTAAGATAACACAGATTGAAGACAAGCCTTTCCCTATCCACCTTTTTTGGCCTTGTGCCACATTTTTGTATTTTCCAAAATAAATATCACATTCCTCTATTGTACCTAGATTTCTACATTTAAGCACAGTATTAGATTGGCAGCTAGGTCTCATCATTTTGCAGTTGAAATGTCTCTATCAAACCATAAGTTCTATGCTAACATTTTCTTCTTTTGCATTTCTCACTTATAGAATTCTCTTCCCAGTTAACTTTGAGCTTCAAAAATTTAAGAACAATGTAAATTGTTATCTTCTGTCTTCTTAATTCTTCTTTTTTTATTGTTCTCTCTCCTTAATAGTATTTTTTCTCATATTCTCTAAGTAACCCCTTGCATCTTAGTAGCTTTATTGCCTTGCATGGGATGAAATGATATATATCTTCTGTAGTTCACTGCTACCAGCTATATTTTATACCTGCTATATTTTCTGTAGTTCACTGATACCAGCAAGCAGAAAATTATCTTTCTCCTGATGATGGCCATGTTAGCCGAAATTAGTCGAGGAATCTAAATGAAATAATAATAAAAATGAAGGAAAATTAATATACAACCCAGTGTATCTGAAGATTTTAATTTTTAATATTTTTTATTGTTCAATATTTATATATATAATGTAAATTCTAAGGAATCAATAGATTTTTTAGCCAATGCTATTTTCTATTACTCCAAACATTATTTTGTGGGTACCACTGTTTGAGTTGATGCAGGCTTGAACCTGCGTACATCTGTTCCTTTGTAAGAGAAACTGCTATCTGTTCCGGCATTCTATGCAAACGAGTCATCTAAAATACGTTTGGGTCAGTAATCATGGCTAGCTAAGTTTAAGAAAAGATAAATTTAAGACCAGCCTTTCCCTATCCTCTCAGCCCATTATATTTTCAAAATAAATATTACTTTCCTCTATCGTACTTTATGAATTTAAGCACAGTACTAGATTGGCAGCTAGGTCTCATCAATTTACAGTGGAATTGGCTAGATATAACCATAACCCATTGTTAACAGTTAACAGTTTCTTCTCTCACACTTCTTGCTTCTGGAACTCTCTTCCAGCTTTTTGTTTTCTAGTAAACTTTGATCTTCAAAAATTTAAATGCAATGTCAATCATTATCTTTTGTCTTCTTGATTCCTGGTTTTCTATTTTCATAATGTTTTTTTCTCATGTTCCCTAACACTTGGAAACCTCTTGCATCTTAATGGCTTTATTGCCTTAATTGGGGTGAAATGATTAAAAAAATATTTATAATCAAAATTAAACATATTTTTATCATTATACAAGTAGATGTAGAAATGCTGCTTCAGGAAAAGATTCTATCTACATTTCTGTGACAAGGTTTGTTAATAGACAATGATTCTTTCAAAAATTTGTAGTGGCTTGTAAAAAGGGTTGGTTATGTGCTATAATGGTTCAGCTACCTATTGGGATTTTTCTATTTGAATGTCTGAAATAAAGACTTCAGGGATTCTTTCTTGAATGGTTCATATTCATTTGTAGCCTTGTTATCAATACCCTTTTTCTAAACAAATACACCTGATGGACTATATACATGCTTGAAGAATCCCTCAACCAAATTTACTAATAAAAACAAAAAGGATAAGGATACTAATCTGAATAAATGTTGGACGATCATAAATCATTATCTCTAATTTTTCAAGAGAATTTTATCCACCTTCAAATGTCTCTATTTTGAGCTGTTTAAAAAGACTTTATTTGAGGTGCTTGTATCTGTCTTGTGGGTCTTTTTTAATTCCATCTTTTTATTTTCATCTACCACAAAGTACAGAGGTTTCTATTCCAATTCACCATTTGGTTCTGTCAACATGATTTTATTTTTAATGCTTTCACTATTTGAACTAAATCGCATAACCTTTGATAAAGCCACAGCTACACTATCTCTTTACCTATTATATCATGAGTTCATTTCTCCAGATTGAAGAGTGTGAAACTAACACATGTACTGCTGTCCCCATATTTCTTACCCCAAGAAAAAAACGATTGTACAAAAGGCATTGGGACTAGAAATATTCATATTTTAAAAAAAAAAAATTCTGTCTATATTTCTGAGATGAGGTATTATGTACATTATTTACATTATTCAGACTCATGGCATGGTGGATAAAGGCAATAGTTAGATCCAGTGACAGGACCAAAAGAGTGTGAGTTCAATACCTGGTTAAGGCAATGGAGAACTTGGAGAGGAAAATTAACAGGAGATAACTGACATCCATTAGATATGGCACATGGAACTAGATCAGTCTACCCCAGTTAGCAAAATAAAGGGTTCAGTTCAACATTCCAGCCACCTGAAGAAGGCCGGAGCATACAATGGATGAAACATTGTAATAAATATGGCAACAAAGATGAGGACAATAGTTCAAATAATGTGAAAAGTGTAAAAAGAAATAGAAATAGTTTTTATATTAAATATAAATTTAGTGCTCTAGATGACAAATATTAAAAAAGAAAATTTATTAAATTTTATAAACATAAAATGTTTTGTAAATTCATCCCCCCTATGGAAGCCAAAACAAATATGCTCATATGACATGATTTATTAAAATTTAATTTTTTTTTTCATTTATAACATGGAGTGCTTAACCCAATAGTAATATATGAAAAAAGAATTCCAGATGACAAATTAAAACACCAGATCTCAGATGATCACCAAAGTTAAGCAACATCAAGCCTAGTCAGTACTTTGATGGGTGACTGCTCGGGTATACCAGGTGCTGTAAGCTTGGATTTCTGGGTAGTGTAACAGATAATGACTCGAAATTGTTAACTGACAAACCAAGTTCCGACTCCCGTTGGATTAGTTATATTCATTTAAGTACAAATACCCTTGGGAAATATATGATCCTCCTTCTCTTCCCCCCGGTATGGGTTAATTAGTAAGACTTGTAAAACTAAATCATTATTATCTCAAAAAAAACTCTTATAATCTAAAGATATGTTGTGGCTTTAAATAATGATATCCTTAAAATTTCCAATACACATCGCACAGACAGACAAGCGTCCCGACATTGTGTTGTGGTCCGACTCTAAAAGACTGTCTTCCTAATAGAACTAACAGTCCCTTGGGAAGAGAACAGGTGGAGGCGCACGAACCTAAAAAAAAAAACGGCATGAGTCACTGCATGCCGAGTGTATGGAAAATGGTTGGACGTGGTCACGGATGCCTATCAAGATTGGGTGTCGGGTTCCTGGGACATTCGGTCATTTCATTCCTTTCAAAAATAGGCATCACTGGCCGTTGGTTGAAAAGCGCTTTCGCATCGCTTCTTCAAAAAACTGTTCAACACGCGTCAAGTTGGATTTGGTCGAGATCAAAACAAGCAAATAGAATGCGCGCAACATCACGACCTAATATGCGCAAGTGAGATATTTGCGTGGTCGCTCATAACGACTTTTACGAGCGTCAATAACAGCAAACACGTTCAAGAAACTTTCATTGCAGATAGATTTTACTTAAAGGAACAATTAGTTAGCTTATCTTCATACCCTGCCTGGTGGCAAACGCTGCTGGTGGCGCTAGGGGTGGCGGTCCCGCCATAGCCACCGAAACCGTGAGATCACCCCTGGTCGGCGGCTGATGAAGACAGGGTATCGCACGTGCTAACACACGTTGTATGTTAAAAATTAACCTGTAATCGGTTGATAAGCCATAGAAAACAGATCAATCCATCAACATTTTAAGAAATCACATGGTATGCGCATATTTGTTTTGGTTTCCATAGGCGGGGATCAATTTGCATAGCAAACTGGACCCTCTACCCCTATTTAAAAAAATAAAAAAAAATTATATTTATTGATCTGAAGTGGTGAATCTATACTAATATGGGAAAAAAATTGAAAAAAAATGATTTCTGGTCACAGAGTTTATTGTACAATTCCACCAAATTTAGGTACCAGGAAGGTACCTCCCAGGCTGAATATCTTTTGAGTGTAACTGTACTCACCACACTTAGCAAATTGGTGGATTGGTGAGACTATTTAACCCATAGTTGGAAGTTTGAAATTCAAGTTGTCCTTTCCTAGACCGTGAACCGGTCCAGGGAGAAGGACAACCTGAATTTCAAACCCGAGGCTATAGGACTCAGTCTGTCTAGCTGTTTACCCATAGCTGGGTAAACAGGAGATGGATTCATACCTTGCATGCAAGTGAATATAATGAACTTGACTGGAATTCGAACACTGCTCTCCAATTCCTCAATCCAAGCCACTATCCATTAGTCCACTATGTGCCCCCACCACTCCTAGCAAAATTACTTTGTAAGAAATGGCAATTGTTTGACAGTAATTGTATGTTCAAGTTTTATTTGATTGCACCCCCATCCCCCGCCACCACAGGTTCTTTCAAGAAATGTGTAAATATGAGATTATATAATGTATTAATAAACTTTAATTATGTCAAATATTTTGATTAGTTTATCTTCATTGATTTCTGCTGCTTTTTATCACATTTTTTTGCCATTAACCTAAGCTAAAAATAAACAGAATCAACAATACATAACAGAAAATAAGAGAGTATCAGAAGAGTACAAATAAGTTTTCAACTATGAAATGACAATCTCCTAATGAATAGGATATGAGTTCAAATCACACCCAAAGTTACTGATTGGTTAAACAAAACTATTTTGATATAAAGCAAAAAAATGAAAGAAAGAAAGATTAGTCAAATATCTATAATTTGGAAAAATGGCTAGCCTCTGTAAGTTTTAAACCTGATATGTACTCATTACCTTCAAAGATTCTATAAAAGGTAATTAAGGTTTCTAAGCTTAATTAAATCCAAGTAATGATCGGTAATTAAGTTCAATGAGAAATTTTGATTAGGTTCATACAGATCTCACCAACTGATGTATTCTTGAAATGATCAAATTATTTTTGATTAATTCGTTTTTTAAAGAACTTATAAAAAACAATGGCTTTATCTTTTTATGCATGTTTCTCACTTTACGTTGTCTCACTTTAAAAAAGATCTACATTAGTAAAAGTTTCTGCTGCTGTTGAAAATGATACAAAGCAAAGAAACAATTATGATTAACTTATATGGAAAATATTTTTGAGTTTTCTGTGTCCCCCAATAATTTTCTTCAGTGTTTATCCAACATTGACATCAAACGTCAAGGTTTGTGATCAGATGTGGAAGATTTGAAACAGTTTTTTTCACTGCTTAGCTCCACATATTTTTCCTAGGCCCTCAAAACAACCTCTGCTCATATCTGCATTTGCAAAATTAAACACAGCTTATTTACATTATTTGCATTGGGACTATTGTCCTCATCTTTGTTGTTGTTATCACCTGATTGCCTTCTGTCTGAATTTCTGGGATGAGGAGTTTTCAGTATTTACACTATTTATATTTGGACTATTGTCCTCATCTTTGTTGTTGTTATCACCTGATCGCCTTCTGTCTGAATTTCTGGAGTGAGTTATCATTATTTACACTATTTACATTTGGATTATTGTCCTCATCTTTGTTGTTGTTAACATGATATTTCGACCATATTACCCTCTGGCCTTCCTCAGACGTATATTGATCTGGGTAACTTATAGGGTATTCTGAAGTGAAACTTTTTGAATTTCCTTTAAGTTACCCAGATCAATATACGCCTTTACAAATGCTGTCACCAAAGAAAGAAGATGAGTCTGGGAGCCACAAAATTTGCTTAAAAGAAAGCTCTTCATAAAAACAGACTCAGAATGCAGGCAACAGGCTAGCTGTCAACACTGACAAGTTCTCGACATCACCACCATCATTTCAGGTAGATTTCACTCCAGGCCTCTCTTATCACCACCATAATCTTGATCAATCCACTCTAATTGCAACCAGATTTGCTGCTTGCATAATTCTTTCTTTCCTGCCTTCTGCATAAAAGATGAACTCTTAATTGCATTCTTAAAGGTGGATGAATATTTAAATTGTAGGAGTTTGGAGTATAACAAGAAGCAGAAATAAATTAAAGACAGTTTTCAATTTTTATTATAGGTTTAATTTTCTTGTATAATAAACTATTTTCATAACCAAACCCCCCTTAAGATTCAGGGCTGACACAAAAATCTTAAATACTGACAGTTTACGTCAGCAGATGAATCACAGCCAAACTGTGGTGTATGTTAAGATAAGCCCAATTCATCTAATCTTAGTAAATATGAAAGGGTTTATTCCTTGCACCACTCCAGAAAGTATCTGACTCTTCCTACCATGCCCTATCTTCACAAGAACCAAATCAAACCAAAGATGGCGTATTACTGCCATATCTGGGCTGAAGCTGCCCAATCAACACTTTTTAGCCTTGACAAAGTTCAAAAGCATTTACATAGCCTTGTAGGCAATAAATTATTTTCAACCCTACAGCCTCTTTCCCCACAGATGAAATGTTGCAAGCCTATTGCTACATCATTGCTATTTCCGTAGAAAGTGTTCAGACAAGCTACATTCTTTAGTTTCAACATTTAAAGCTAGGACCCACCAGGCAACATACACAGGATCGAATCATCCTCATTCCTTTTGTATTCTATTTGGAAGGAGAGAGTTCCACTCAGACAACTTTCCCCCCAAGAACTGTTACTTTCTGGAACAGACTCCTGAGAAGATGCTTTCCTGACCATTATCATCTTAACCACTTCAACACGACTATTAACCTCATAATCTGCAGGTACTATCACATCTTACATTCAAACAATTTCATTCTGTAACCCTCTACCTTGATTGACTCTTTGGCCTTGTATTGGGCAAACGATATTTTTTAAAAAGTCATACAACGCAATAAATAGACTGTGAAGATTCAAACTGATTGGTTGATATTTTTCATAATTAATTTTTCATAAAATGGTAAATAAAAATATTTCATTATAGCTGCTTCACATATTTTTATAATCTTGTAAATATAAAATTAATCTTGTAAGTAAACAACCTAACAACTAAATAGTGTGTAATATTTTTGTTGTTATTAAAATTATAAACATTGCTGAGGGAGTCAAAGGAATATACAGTAATAGTGGTGTCAAGACTGATTGCTTGATTTGTTTAATGGCATATCAACACCCTATGGGTCATTTAATGCTGAAATTTTCTTGGGCACTTTGAAGTAATAAAAATATATGTTATTCTGCTTTCACAACTGAATACATGGTAGATGATACTCAGCTTTTGTGCATACACATGTTTGTGTGGACATAATTACTAGAGGCAGTGATATGCGTTTTATATTGTAGTTTTATTGAAGTTATATTTTGGAATACAGTTTGATTTCTTTAAGAAATTGTAGGATATTGTATGGACTAATGTCATAAATGAAATCTTTCATGTTGGTTGTTTGGTTAGTCAGTTGATTTTGCTTCACAACATATCAACCTCTATGGATTATTTAATGCCAAAATCTAAATAATCTGAACACCATTTTATGGCTTCAACTAAATATATTTGGTTAACTTGCAGTGTAACACCTGCATTCAGTTTGCATTAAAAATTTCCAGAATACTTAAATTTATATGTAATTGTACATGCTCCATTCGAATCTGGCTTGATAAATTTGATAAAATCTATTGTTTTGGAGTTATCAACTGTGAAAGTTTGGATTCATTTGCATTGCAGGCAGCCATTATGGGTGTTTGTATACATTCACTGCAGAATAGCTATCAGTGTAGGTATCATTGCGCAAACTGAGCGTGTCTACATAAATAGTTCTCATACGCAGAAATTGAGACAAATTTAGAGAAGAAAGATCAGT